GATTTCTCAAATGGTCCACTCAACTAATAGTTACTATCTCATAAATGAAAACGAGAAAAAAGACGATTTTATGCGATAATAATTGTTAGTTAAATGACAATACGAAAAGGGTAAATAAGATGTAAAATTATAGATATTTATAACTTTTCAAAAGCATTAAGATGGCTTCAAGAACCTGATTTCAAAAGTTGGTGAACTTGCAGGAATTTTTCTACAGAAAATGGCTGAAAATGAAATTGAAGAAATGTTAGACCACCTGAGAAGGATCAAGAATGGAGGTAATCTGAATTGGTTCGAGATATTTCTAATTAAGGAACTTGAAATGGTACTAAGAGTTTTTAGAACGTTTATAAAGTATCATGATGTTCTTTTGCCTGATTCCTTAGTCGAACTCAGAAAGAGTGCCAAATTGACTGGGGAAATACTTCACCGGGTATTGGATAGGATTCCATATAAATGTAAAACAAACCTTAATCTGGAAAGGCTAGAATCACATTTGTTGGAATTCTTTCAAGGTAATACCAGTTTAAGTTACACTTATGAGTTGAATGATTTTGATCTGTCGAAATATATGGATTGTCTGGAAAAAATTCTAAATGATGTATTGATGATGTTCGTGGATAAGGGTAGGTCCTGCCATTCCAAAAAAAAACTTGCAATACATCGATCTATAAAGGAACTGAAAATTGTTCAAAAGAAAATGAGAATTTTGAAATACATATATGCCACAGAGATAAATGGTTATGTCGACTATGAGAAGCTGGAATGTTTGGAGACTCGAATTCAGTTCATGACTAACAATGTGGGACAATATTGTTTGGCCGTATTAGATTATGTTGCTGAGGGTGAAGTTAATGAAGAAAATGACATCTTTAGTAAACCTCCTTATCTATTATCATTGATTGTGTTTGTGGAGCTGGAAATGAAGAAATTACCAAAAGTATTTTCACATCATCTCCACAATCTGCTGATGTATCTCAGAAACAAAAAGCTCGAGAACTTTCCTAATAATAACTCTGCTCAAAATATTGATGTGGCAATAGAGTTCTTGTTGGTTTTCCTTGATGCTGATGTGTCAAATCATGTTACTAATGGTAACTGGTTGAATGAGATCTTGTTAAAGGTTGGAGCTAGAGCGGGTGATATTCTATATGTAATTCAAAAGCTTCTTCCTAGATCTATAAACAAAGATGACACTAGCAAAATAAGTCTTTGCTCAATACAGATATTGGAGAAGACTAAAGATCTGAAGGAACAAGTTGAGATGTACTACAAATCCTTGAAATTTACTCCATCTTAGTTCCCCACCTTTGGTGGATTGAGCTTTTTGGATTCTCTTTTAAGGAAACTGAATGAGATGTCGAAATCTAAGTCTGGTTTAGATTTCCTGATGAAACCACTTTTAGGGGATTTGGAGAAAGAGCTATCATCTCTTACATCCATTTTAGAGAAGGAGCTATCATCCATTTTCAGAGATGTCGTGCACCATGAACATAAAATTCCTAAAAGATCTTCAGAGACGTACCATCAATTTGGCATATGAGGCTGAGGTTGCCATTGACTCTATTCTTGCTCAGTATAATGCTTTTTTGCATAGTTTTTGCTCACTTCCTACAATTTTAAAAGAGATCATGCAAATTAATGCAGAGGTGACTGAGATGTGGTCAACGGACATTCCTCTTAATCCTCACTACGTGGCTGCTCCATTTAAACATCTACCAGCTCAACATAGCAATCCTGTGACTGATGAGGAGGTAGTGGGTTTTGAGAATAAAGCAGAAGAACTAATTGATTATCTGATTAGAGGTACAAATGAGCTAGACGTCGTCCCAATTGTAGGCATGGGGGGACAAGGGAAAACGACAATTGCTAGAAAGTTGTACAATAATGACATCATTGTTTCTCACTTTGATGTTCGAGCATGGTGCATCATTTCTCAAACATATAGCCGAAGAGAGCTATTACAAGAGATTTTCAGTCAAGTTATGGGCTCCAAGGACAAGGAAGATGCGGTAGGCGAACTTGCTGACAGGTTGAGGAAAAGCCTAATGGGAAAGAGATATCTCATTGTATTGGATGATATGTGGGATTGTATGGCATGGGATGACTTAAGGCTTTCTTTTCCAGATGTTGGAATGAGAAGCAGAATAGTCGTAACAACTCGACAGTGGGTAAGCAAGTCAAGTACCATACTGATCCTTATTCTCTTCCATTCCTCACAACAGAAGAGAGTTGCCAATTGTTGCAGAAAAAAGTGTTTCAAAAGGAAGATTGCCCGCCTGAACTACAATATGTGAGTCAAGCAGTTGCAGAAAAATGCAAAGGACTCCCCCTAGTGGTTGTCTTGGTAGCTGGAATAATCAAAAAAAGGAAAATGGAAGAATCTTGGTGGAATGAGGTGAAATATGCTTTATTTGACTATCTTGATAGTGAGTGCGAAGAATATAGTCTGGCGACTATGCAGTTGAGTTTTGATAACTTACCCGATTGTTTAAAGCCTTGTCTTCTTTATATGGGGATGTTTTCGGAGGACGCAAGAATTCCAGCATCTAAATTGATAAGTTTATGGATTGCTGAAGGATTCGTGGAGAACACTGAATCTGGGAGATTAATGGAAGAGGAAGCTGAAGGTTACTTGATGGATCTCATTAGCAGTAACGTGGTAATTGTTTCAAAGAAAGGTTATAATGGTAAAGTCAAATGCTGCCAGGTTCATGATGTTGTGCATCACTTTTGCTTGGAGAAGAGTAGAGAAGAAAAGTTTATGCTTGCAGTGAAGGGTCAATATATCCAGTTTCAACCCTTGGATTGGAAGGGAAGTTGAGTAAGCTTCAGTTTCAGTGAAGAGCTTTCCAAGTTTGCATCTCTGGTTTCCAAAACACAGAAGCCTTTCCACCAACACTTGAGGTCTCTGATAATGATAAATAATGTAGTATCTTTTGATATGATTCCCTTCTGTTGGATTAGTGAAATGCGACTTCTTAAAGTCTTGGATTTGAGTTCTTACAGTGTGCTGTTTTTGTCGTTAGCTGCATTCAAACCACTAAATCAGCTGAAGTACCTCGCAGTTTGGGCAGGTGAATTCTATTTTGATCCAGGATCACATCTGCCCCATATAGAAACTTTAATTTTGAAGAATTTTCCTATTGTACGGTTACCAGTGTCTTTTTTGTAGATGGAAAAATCAAGGCATGTTGAGATTAGGGAAGCTGAATTTGATAAGCAGGGATTCTTTGAAGGATCCTCTAAATTGGAAAATTTGAGGATATTAAAGAAAATTGTTGGATTTCCAATTGATAGGTTGGATGTGTTATCAAGGAGCTGTCCTAATCTTCAACAACTTCATATCAAATTTGAGGATGATGAAGAGCCTTTTTGTCCCAAATTGGAGAATCTTACCCAGCTTCAAGAGCTTCAACTTTCCTTTGTGCATCCCCGCATTCTATCCGGGTTACAGTTGCCTTCAAATTTAAAACAAGTTGGTACTTGAAGGAATTCATATAGAAAGTGCTATTTCCTTCATTGCGGAACTACCAAGCCTGGAGTATCTCCAATTACAAGATGTGTGTTTTCCTCAATCAGAAGAGTGGTGCCTGGGAGATATCACGTTCCATAAACTTAAGTTGTTGAAACTGGTGCAGTTAGGTATCTCAAGGTGGGATGCCTCGGAGGAATCATTTCCCCTGCTTGAAACACTTGTTATAAAAATGTGTGGCGACCTAGAGGAGATACCCCTTAGCTTTGCATATATTCCAACGCTGAAACAGATTAAATTGATTGGGTCCTGGAAAGAATCTCTGGAGGATTCAGCTGTGAGAATGAAGGGAGAAATCGAAGAGATTGAAGGATGTGATCGTATACACCTCGTCAAAGAACAGTCAGATTGGTGAGGGTTTTAATAGCTAATTGTTGCAGCCATGCTCATACAGAAGTATAGCCCATTTTCTTTTATTGTAACATTACTACTATTTGCTATGTTTGTTTTTATTGATAAACTCTTTTTATGTATGATTGGAGACAAATATATATCTGTTGGTCTTTCACTGATTTCTTGTTTTTATGCAGCTTTATACTTTTGACCAATTTCTCTCCACTTACATCAGATCAACCATGTTGTTGTTGTTGAGTACTTCTTGATTTTCTATTTTGCTGAACTATCCAGAAAAGCTTAAGGTTAAACTGCTTCTTGTTGCTTGAGGTGCAATGAATTTCAAAGTTTGGACAAATCCTTTTTTGTGTCCTTTGATATAAAGCCATCAAGAAAATCCTTCTTAGAACAGAATTCTCTTGTATGAGTAGTTGGTTCGTGGTTGAACTAACACGCACAATCATTTCGCTCCTGAGTTGTCCGCTTGGGACCAGAGAACTGGTGTTAACACACCAATTCTAATCCACCTAACATAGACCAAAATCAAAACTCTCTATTAGGTGCAGCTTTTTGAAGTGCGATTTCTGATACTTTTTACATCGTTCTAGTGTTAGAAATTTCCACTGAACTTCAAACTGATCTAATTGTATAGACGAGAGGGAGTTGCTCGGATGGTAAGCACCCCTCACTTCCAACCCGAAGGTTGTGAGTTCGAGTCACCAAGGGAGCAAAAGGGGTGGGAGCTCCTAGGGAGGGTTAAAAAAAAAAAATAAAAAAAAAAAATCTAATTGTATAATCCTCTTCTGTAAATTGAGTGACTTTCTTTTGGGGTATGGTGAAAGTTTAAGTAGCCAACCAATTGAGCTAGTACATGCTTTGTTGGATAATTTAAAATATTTGTACTAATTAGTATGGAACACGCGTGTTTGATGACTAGTTATTGATACAAGCACATATAAATTATGCTTGATTTACCATTTCCTATAGAAAGAATGAATACATAAAATGAAAATTATCGTAAGGTCTACGATGTACGTAATTTGAATAGGTCAATAGGAATGAAACTCAGGAAGTTGTGGTACAATTACCACAATTAATTAATTAAGCAATAATTGTTGTTTAGTCTTCATCCTACCATTATTAATATTTCAGAGCTCATATTATCAGTCAATAAGCCAATAGGAAAGAAACGATAACAAGTATATAAGTTATAATAAAGCAATAATTGTTCGCAGTGGCGAATTTAGGTGCAAAAAATAGGGCACCCGAACCCGTGGTCTCTTCGTAAAATTAGATATTTTATGTATATATTTTCTAACATTTGTATAATATTATATTCTTGCACCCGTACTATAAAAATTTTAGTTGATCCACATGGTTAAATGTTGAGCTTTTGACTTTGAGGACTAAAGATCAATTCCCACTTAATACATTTTTCTTGGTGCACCCATGTTCGGATCATCCTAGATTCGCCTCTGATTGTTGGTTACCTAGTATTAGATAAATTATTTATGCAAAAAGTCAGAGCTCATACATACACTCTGATTGTGCCTTTTTAAACTTGAATTATTCTTTGATCTTATCAGCTATCTCTCTACAAGACAACACCTTGTGGCTGCAGGCAAATTGAATTCATGGTCATTGAGGTGAGTTTTTTTTAACGTACCTCCTACGATTTTTAGAAAATTTTCAAGAAATTATTTATCCACAGTAATTGTTTATATCAAGCCATGAAAATTTATGATAGTTAAGTGGTTTAATGCGGTGAGATTGCATGTTAATTACCGAATTTGGTGGCTTAAAGGAAAGAGAGCTGAGTAACTTCGCCCACCAAGGCTTAAACAAATAGGAAAGGAATCACCTACTTCTATCATTTTTTCTCCGCTGGTGTGAACCTGAGACTTCGTGGTTCTCCATCCATTTTATTGGGCTACAAGGTCACACTGTTGGATGCAACGTTATATCTGAAAATTCGTGGGCATATATTGTTGATCTGATCATTTCTATGACTTCTGTTTTTATCTTACTCTTGAATCTTTAGAACTTTTCTTCGGTGGAACTTAAATGTAATTTTACTTATAGTTATCATTTCCTTTGTTTCTTTCTAGAATTGAATACGAAATTGGAGATATAAAAAAGGAGATAGGAGACAAAAGTACGCGCTTGAGTGATTGTAAGACTTGAGCTGAACTTGTGTTAGGTACTTTCCTTCTTTTGCAAATCGTTAAGTTGGTTTCAATTATTAGCTGAAGTGAAAAAATGTACTGAACTTGCGGGAATTTTCTACTATATTTTCAGGAAAATGGCTCAAATTAATGACATTGACGATGTGTTATATCACCTAAGAAGGATCAAGAGTCAAGGTGATCAGAGTAGCATCAAGATTGATCAGATTGAGAAACTTGAAATGGAGCTAAGAATGTTTAGAACCTTTATAAAGTATTATCATATTCTTTTGCATGATTTCTTTGTCAAACCCACAAAGATCGCCAAATTGATCGTGAAAATGCTTCACCGGGTATTTGATGGAATTCCATATGAATGTAAAACTAACCTTGATCAGGAAAGACTGGTAGCACAGTTATTGAATTTCATAGATGAAGGTAATTCCAGTTTGAGGTACAATTATGAGTTCATGAATGATTCTTATCTATCAGATTATATGGATTGCCTCGGAAAGAATCTAAATGATGTACTGATAATGTGCCTGAAATTGGATAGGTCTGATCCTTCTTGGACGAATGAAAAAATCCTTCACTATAATCGATTTATAAAGCAACTGAAAATTGTTCAAAAGAAAATGAGATTTTTGAGATACTTATATGCCACAGAGATAAATGGTTACATCGACCATGAGAAGCTGGAATGTTTGGAGACTCGAATTCAGTTCATGGCTAATAATGTGGGACAGTTTTGTCATGCTTTTTCGATTAATGTATCTGAGTTTGAAGATGATACAGATGAGGATGAGGATGAGGATGACAAGGATGAGCAAGAATACATGAATAAACCTCCATATCTGTTATGTCTAATTGAGCTAGTGGAGAATAGTCATTGCACTAGTAGCGTCTACGAGCCTCCCGCTTCGGTACCATCTCCTTTTTTACCAGCCGAGCTGCCCTGAAATGAAGAAGATTTTTCTTGGTGAGCTAAAGGCTTCAAAGTTCACTCAGTTAGAAACTTTCAAGAACAAGAAATTACCAAAAGGATTTTCACATCATCTCCGTAGTCTGCTGGTGTATCTAAAAAACAAAAAGCTCCCAATCTTTCCTACTAATGTCTCAACCCAAAATATTGATGTGGCAATAGATTTCTTGTTTGTGTTTCTTGATGATGATGGGTCAAATCATGCTATTAATAGTAAGATGATGAATGAGGTCTTCGAAAAGGTTGTAACCATAGTGGGTGATGTTCTATATGTAATTCAAAAGCTTCTTCCTAGATCTGTAAACATAGATGACATGACTAGCAAAACAAATATTTGCTCGATACAGATATTGGAGAAAATTAAAGATCTGAAGGCACCAATGGAGACGTACTACAAATCCTTAAAGTTCAGTACTCCATCTCAGTTTCCCACTATTGGTGGATTGAGTTTTCTGGCTTCTCTTTTAAGGAAACTGAATGAGATGTCGAAATCTAAATCAGGTTTAGATTTCCTGATGAAGCCTCTTTTTGGTAACTTGGAGAAAGAGCTATCAGCCCTGACATCCATTTTAGAGAAGGAGTTGTCATTTTTATCATCCATTTTCAGAGATATCGCAAAGGTGCACCATGAACATGAAATTCTGAAAGCTCTTCACAGGCATACTATCAATTTGGCATATGAAGCTGAAGTTTCCATTGACTCTATTCTTGCTCAATATAATGTTTTTTGGCATATTTTCTGCTCACTTCCTGCAATCTTGAAAGAGATTAAGCAAATCAGTTCGCAGGTGACTAAGATGTGGTCAGCAGACGTTGCTCTTAAGCCTTGCTATGTGGTAGCGCCATCTAAACACCTGCCAACTCAACATAGCAATCCAGAGACTGATGAGGAGATAGTAGGTTTTGGGAAAGACACAGAAAAAATGCTTCAGTATCTGATTAGAGGTACAAATGAGCTAGACGTCGTCCCAATTGTAGGCATGGGGGACAAGGGAAAACCACAATTGCTAGAAAGTTGTACAATAATGACATCATTGTTTCTCGCTTTGATGTTCGAGCATGGTGCATCATTTCTCAAACATATAGCCGAAGAGAGCTATTAAAAGAGATTTTCAGTCAAGTTACGGGCTCCAAGGACAAGGAAGATGAGGTAGGCGAACTTGCTGACAGGTTTAGGAAAAGCCCAATGGGAAAGAGATATCTCATTGTATTGGATGATATGTGGGATTGTATGGCATGGGATGACTTAAGGCTTTTCTTTTTCCAGATGTTGGAATGAGAAGCAGAATAGTCGTAACAACTCGACTTGAAGAAGTGGGTAAGCAAGTCAAGTACCATACTGATCCTTATTCTCTTCCATTCCTCACAACAGAAGAGAGTTGCCAATTGTTGCAGAAAAAAGTGTTTCAAAAGGAAGATTGCCCGCCTGAACTACAATATGTGAGTCAAGCAGTTGCAGAAAAATGCAAAGGACTGCCCCTAGTGATTGTCTTGGTAGCTGGAATAATCAAAAAAGGAAAATGGAAGAATCTTGGTGGAATGAGGTGAAAGATGCTTTATTTGACTATCTTGATCATGAGTCGGAAGAATATAGTCGGGTGACTATGCAGTTGAGTTTTGATAACTTACCCGATTGTTTAAAGCCTTGCCTTCTTTATATAGGGATGTTTCCGGAGGACGCAAGAATCCCTGTGTCTAAATTGATAAGTCTATGGATTGCGGAAGGATTTGTGCAGAACATTGAATCAGGGAGATTGATGGAAGAGGCAGCTGAAGGTTTCTTGATGGATCTCATCCACAGTAACGTAGTAATGGTTTCAAAGAGAGAATATAACGGGAAAGTCAAATACTGCCACGTTCATGATGTAGTGCTTCACTTTTGCTTGGAGAAGAGTAGAGAAGAAAAGTTTATGTTGGTTATGAAGGGAAATTGTAGCAAATTTCAACCTTTTGATTGGAAGGAAAGTCGAATGAGGTTCATTTTGACTGAAAAGCTTTCAAAGTTTGCATCTCTGGAATCCAAAACACGGAAGTCTTTCCACCAACACTTGAGGTCACTGATAATGACAAATGGATTACTATATTTTAATTGGATTGTCTTCCCTCAGGTTAGAGAAATGAGACTTCTTAAGGTCTTGGATTTGACTTCCTTTGATGTCAAATACTTGTCGTCAGCTACATTGAAACCACTGATTCACCTGAAATACCTTGGAGTTAGCGCATGTGAATTTTATTTTCATCCTGAACCACATCTTTCCCATCTTGAAACTTTAATTGTGAAGGATTTATTATTCAGGTATACAGAGTTACCAGATATTTTTTGGAAAATGGAACAATTAAGGCATGTTGATATTAATAAAGCTGAATTTTATTTGGAAGAGGGGATGATTGAAGAATCCTGTAAATTGAATAATTTGAGGATATTAAGGCGAGTTCGAATTTACAATGCTGCTAGTGAGGATGTGTTAATACAGAGTTGTCCTAATCTTCAACAACTGTACATCACATTTGAGGAGAGTGTACCTGGAGAGCCTTTCTGTTTCACATTGGAGAGTCTTATCCAGCTTCAAATACTTAGCCTTTCCTGTGATTGTTGTCTCTCAGGTTTACAGTTGCCTTCGAATTTAAAAAAGTTGGTACTAAGAGGGAGTAATATAGAAAGTGCAATTCCCGTCATTGCAGGACTACCAAGCCTGGAGTATCTCCAATTATGGAACTCAGATTATTTTCAATCAGAAGAGTGGAGCCTCGGAGATATCACATTCCATAAACTTAAGTTGTTGAAAATGGTGTTCTTACGTATCTCAAGGTGGGATGCCTCAGATGAATCATTTCCCCTGCTTGAAACACTTGTTATGAAAAAGTGCACTGAGCTAGAGGAGATCCCCCTTAGCTTTGCCGATATTCCATCATTGAAACAGATTAAGTTGATTGGATCCTGCAAAGAATCTCTGGTGGCTTCAGCTATGAAAATTAAGGAAGAAGTCGAAGCTATTGAAGGATGTGACCGTCTTAACCTCTTCAAAGAACAGTCAGATTGGGGAGAATTTTGATAGCTAATTGTTGCAGCCATGCTCATCCTCTTATATTGTAACACTAGTACTGATTGTTAAGTTTGTTTTGATTGATCAACTCTTTTTATGATTGGAGATAAATATATATCAGATGGTCTTTCACAACCTGTCAAATCATTGTTCCATTTCTATAATCTTTCACCAGGTAATGGGCATGATCTTGGTCATTTCTAGTTATCTTTAGCAAAAACAGTTATCTCTTTCGAAATGACATTTTTGGCTACGATTCTTGCAATATATTAGCTACTAAAAAAAAATTTCTCTTGTATGGGTAGTTGGTTCGTGGTTCAACTAACATGCACAATCATTTCACTCCCAAGTTGTTAACTTCGGACCAAAGAATCGGCATTAAGACACCAACTCTAGCCTACCTAAAATAGACCGAAATCAAAACTCATTATTAAGTACATCTTTTTGAAGTGCAATTTCTGATATTTTTTACATGATCTAAGTGTCTAGTGCAGTTCTTTTTTTGTTGCTTTTTTAAAAAAATAAAAAATAGGAGACTTCCTGATGTTTGAGATTAAACTTTTTTCATTATTTTCATCAAAGTTATTAAGAAAATTATTAAATACTTGCGGAGATTAAAATCTTAACTTTTGGCAAACTTATAAGACTCAAATTATTCAATGCATACTTAAAAGGACTATTTTGAATCTTTCTCAAACACAAGGGATCATTTTTGTCGCTTAAAAAATATTGTGTATTTCAGTTCTCCCCTTGCAATGTTCTACCCTGGAAAATTGTAGAAGAAGAGTGTTGAGAGAATTCATCAGAGAAATCCAATGTGGGAGTGTTTCACTCCTCAATGTGGGACTTTATTACGTCACGAATTCAAATTGGATCGGGCTCCAACGTGGATACCGAACACTGGATGGGAAACAAAACAATATATGTAGTACGACATGAAATGAATAAATAAGGGGATTTGGCCCTTAAGAAACAAAAAAATCAATGTTTTGTATTGTGATTGGGCCTGTCCTGAGAACAGACTCCATTCACAAAATATATGGAAGAATTATCACCACTCCTTTTTTATCCTTGTTTGATTTATGACATATGATTTATCCTTTTTTCAATTATGTTTTTTTCAAAAAATATAAAAACTTATTCAAGTTTATATTTTGTAAAAAAAACAAATCATTATTTTCAGTTTTACAAAAATAAACTCATGTTCGACGTGAATAGATTGTCCGTCGTATCATGTGAAAGAATTACTAGTTACTACTATTGTTGACTAGTGGATTTTTATAAGTTTATGTACATTTGAAAGTTAAAAGAAACATAAATATATGTAATTCATCGATGTGATGCTTTAGATATTATGATATCTTGTTTACGAACGATGATTTACTCATTCGATAAGATTGCATAAGAATTGATTTTCATAGTTTTCACAACTTGTGTATTTTCATATTTATGAGAAAAAATATAACTTCATGTCCGACCCAATACCCAACCATAAAATCCCTTAATTATATGGTAAGCAAGTATCATAGAAGTGTATAGCTTAAGTACGAAACTAACAAACCACATAAATTTTTGGGGGATTTTCCGAAAGAGTCATCTGGTGTGAAGTATGAAGTATAATAATTTTGAGATAAAATATAGAATTATTTTATCCTGCGTTTGGTTGGAGGCATGTTAGGTACATAGTCCTTGGATTATGTATCCCATCATTTATACCATAGTGATGGAATATATAATTAATTATTATCCCATATACATAATGAAATAACGTATTCCGGAATAATAACTCTCGAAACAACTTGTTCCAACCAAACAACCCCTAAAGAAAAAGGCAAATAATATAGGTGTATTATTGAGTCATTTTACAGCTACCACCTAAAGCAACTTGCTACTACAATTCATCTCTTGTTAGGTATAAGAATTATTAGAGAGAGAGAGCAGAAGACTCTTCCTTCTTCCTTCAAACCTTCATCCATTTTATTTCAATAAACTTTTTTCTTATTTCACCTATTACGTAAACTTGGAAATATATCTTTGTTGGAATCCAAATCTGAGAAATTGAAGATTCTTGTTTACTAACTGTAAGTCATCTTCTTCATGAATTACTTTTTTCCCATAGATACAGAATTAGAGAGTTGATTTCTCAAATGGTTCACTCAACTATTAGTTAGTATCTCATAAAATTGAAAATGAAAGAAAGACGATTTTTCTGAGATAATAATTAGTTAAGTGACATTTGACAATATGAAAATGGTACATAAGATGTATAACTTTTCACAAGCATTAACATAGCTTCAAACACTAGATATATTGAAAGACATGAACCTAATTCCATGAGTTGGTGAACTTGCAGGAATTTTTCTGCAGAAAATGAATGAAAATGAAATTGAGGAAATGTTAGATCACCTAAGAAGGATCAAAATTGAAGGTAACCTGAGTACCTACATGATTTGGGATATTCAGGATCTTGAAATTGTGCTAAGAGTTTTTAGAACCTTTATAAAGTATCATGTTCTTTTACCTGATTGTTTAATCAAACTCACAAAAGAAAGCCAAAATGGACTGTGGAAACGCTTCATCGGGTATTTAATGGGATTCCGGATGAATGTAAAACTAACCTTAATCTGAAAAGGCTAGAATCACATTTGTTGGAATTCTTTGAAGGTAACTCCAGTTTAAGTTACAATTATGAGTTGAATGATTTTGATCTGTCGAAATATATGGATTGTCTGGAAAAAATTCTAAGTGATGTACTAATGATGTTCCTGGATAAGGATAGGTCCTGTCATCTCAAAAAAAAACTTGTAATACATCTATCTATGAAGAAACTGAAAATTGTTCAAAAGAAAATGAGATTTTTGAGATATATATATGCCACAGAGATAAATGGTTACGTCAACTATGATAAGCTGGAATGTTTGGAGACTCGAATTCAATTTATGGCTAACAATGTGGGACAATATTGTTTGGCCGTATTAGACTATGTTGTTGTTGTTGAAGTTAATGATGAAATTGATTTCTTTAATAAACCTCCTTATCTATTATCATTGCTTGTGTTTTGTGGAGCTGGAAATGAAGAAGATTTTTCATGGTGAACTAAAGGCTTCAAAGTTTACTCAATCAAAACCATTCAAGGACAAGAAATTACCAAAAGAATTTTCACATCATCTCCACAATCTGTTGATGTATCTCAAAAACAAAAACTTGAGAACTTTTCCTAATAATATCTCTGCTCAAAATATTGATGTGGCAATAGAATTCTTGTTGGTTTTCCTTGATGCTGATGTGTCAAATCATGTTATTAATGGTAACTGGTTGAATGAGATCTTGTTAAAGGTTGGAGCTATAGCGGGTGATGTTCTATATGTAATTCAAAAGCTTCTTCCTAGATCTATAAACAAAGATGACAATAGCAAAATAAGTCTTTGCTCGATAGAGATATTGGAGAAGTCTAAAGATTTGAAGGCACAAGTTGAGACGTGCTACAAATCCTTAAAATTTACTCCATCTCAGTTCCCCACCTTTGGTGGATTGAGCTTTCTGGATTCTCTTTTAAGAAAATTGCATGATATGTTATGTCGAAATCTAAGTCTGGTTTAGATTTCCTGATGAAACCACTTTTAGGGGATTTGGAGAAAGAGCTATCATCTCTTACATCCATTTTAGAGAAGGAGCTATCATCCATTTTCAGAGATGTCGTGCACCATGAACATAAAATTCCTAAAGATCTTCAGAGACGTACCATCAATTTGGCATATGAGGCTGAGGTTGCCATTGACTCTATTCTTGCTCAGAATAATGCTTTTTTGCATATTTTTTGCTCACTTCCTACAATTTTAAAAGAGATCAAGCAAATTAATGCAGAGGTGACTGAGATGTGGTCAACGGACATTCCTCTTAATCCTCACTACGTGGCTGCTCCATTTAAACATCTGCCAGCTCGACATAGCAATCTTGTGACTGATGAGGAGGTAGTGGGTTTTGAGAATAAAGCAGAAAAACTAATTGCTTATCTGATTAGAGGTACAAATGAGCTAGACGTCATCCCAATTGTAGGCATGGGGGGACAAGGGAAAACGACAATAGCTAGAAAGTTGTACAATAATGACATCATTGTTTCTCGCTTTGATGTTCGAGCATGGTGCATCATTTCTCAAACATATAGCCGAAGAGAGCTATTAAAAGAGATTTTCAGTCAAGTTACGGGCTCCAAGGACAAGGAAGATGAGGTAGGCAAACTTGCTGACAGGTTGAGGAAAAGCCTAATGGGAAAGAGATATCTCATTGTATTGGATGATATGTGGGATTGTATGGCATGGGATGACTTAAGGCTTTCTTTTCCAGATGTTGGAATGAGAAGCAGAATAGTCGTAACAACTCGACTTGAAGAAGTGGGTAAGCAAGTTAAGTACCATACTGATCCTTATTCTCTTCCATTCCTCACAACAGAAGAGAGTTGCCAATTGTTGCAGAAAAAAGTGTTTCAAAAGGAAGATTGCCCGCCTGAACTACAATATGTGAGTCAAGCAGTTGCAGAAAAATGCAAAGGACTCCCCCTAGTGGTTGTCTTGGTAGCTGGAATAATCAAAAAAAGGAAAATGGAAGAATCTTGGTGGAATGAGGTGAAATATGCTTTATTTGACTATCTTGATAGTGAGTGCGAAGAATATAGTCTGGCGACTATGCAGTTGAGTTTTGATAACTTACCCGATTGTTTAAAGCCTTGTCTTCTTTATATGGGGATGTTTTCGGAGGACGCAAGAATTCCAGCATCTAAATTGATAAGTTTATGGATTGCTGAAGGATTCGTGGAGAACACTGAATCTGGGAGATTAATGGAAGAGGAAGCTGAAGGTTACTTGATGGATCTCATTAGCAGTAACGTGGTAATTGTTTCAAAGAAAGGTTATAATGGTAAAATCAAATGCTGCCAGGTTCATGATGTTGTGCATCACTTTTGCTTGGAGAAGGGTAGAGAAGAAAAGTTTATGCTTGCAGTGAAGGGTCAATATATCCAGTCTCAACCCTTGGATTGGAAGGGAAGTCGAGTGAGCTTCAGTTTCAGTGAAGAGCTTTCCAAGTTTGCATCTCTGGTTTCCAAAACACAGAAGCCTTTCCACCAACACTTGAGGTCTCTGATAAGGACAGATGGTGAAAAATCTATTGATATGATTCCCTTCTGTCAGATTAGTGAATTGCGACTTCTTAAAGTCTTGGATTTGAGTTCTTATTATGTGGAGTTTTTGTGGTTAGCTACATTCAAACCACTTATTCATCTGAAGTACCTCGCAGTTCGGGCAGGTGATTTCTATTTTGATCCAGGATCACATCTGCCCCATATAGAAACTTTAATTGTGAAGAATTCTCCTTATGTATGGTTACCAGTGTCTTTTTTGCAAATGGAAAAATTAAGGCATGCTCATTTTGGTTGGGCTGTTTTTGATAAGCAGGGACTCTTTGAAGGATCCTCTAAATTGGAAAATTTGAGGATATTAAAGAAAATTGAGAAATTTCCAATTGATAGGGCGGATGTGTTATCAAGGAGGTGTCCTAATCTTCAACAACTTCATATCGAATTTGATGGACATTCTGCAGATTCTTTTTGTCTCACATTGGAGAATCTTACCCAGCTTCAAATACTTCGTGTTTCCTTTGAGCGGCACCACATCATTGTATCTGGGTTGCAATTGCCTTCAAATTTAAACAAGTTGGTACTTAAAGGAATTCATATAGAAAGTGTTATTCCCTTCATTGCGGGACTACCAAGCCTGGAGTATCTCCAATTACAAGATGTGTGTTTTCCTCAATCAGAAGAGTGGTGCCTTGGAGATATCACTTTCCATAAACTTAAGTTGTTGAAACTGGTGCAGTTAGGTATCTCAAGGTGGGATGCCTCGGAGGAATCATTTCCCTTGCTTGAAACACTTGTTATAAAAATGTGTGGTCACCTAGAGGAGATCCCACTTAGCTTTGCTGATATTCCATCATTGAAACAGATTAAATTGATTGGGTCCTGGAAAGAATCTCTGGAGGATTCAGCTGTGAGAATTAAGGAAGAAATCAAAGAGATTGAAGGATGTGATCGTATACACCTCGTCAAAGAACTGACAGATTGGGAGGCATATAGCAATTTGTCGCAGCTGTGCTTATACTGAAGTCTATTTTGTAGCTAGCCCATTCTCTTATATTGTAACACTACTACTGTTTGTTATGTTTGTTTTGATTGATCAACTCTTTTTATGTATGGTTGGAGACAAATATATATCAGATGATCTTTCACTGATTTCATGTTTTTATGCAGCTTTATAATTTTGACCAATTTCTGTCCGCTAACAAGTAACATCTTGATAGCTCAGTACAGATCAACCATGTTGTTGTTGTTGTTGTTGAGTACTTCTTGATTTTATAATTCGATGAACGATCCGAAAAAGCTCAAGGTTATATTTACTGCTTCTTGTTGCTGGAAATGCAATGTTTTTCAAAGTTTGGACAAATCCTTCTTTGTTCCCTTTGATATAAAGCCACATAGGAGATTCACTATCAATGAAATGTACTAACAATTGAGTGTAAAATTGTAGGCAAACAAGTCCAAAGGTAAAGAATTCTCTTTTTATTAAAAAAAAAAACCCACCCTTTTTGCAACATAATTCTCTTGTATGCGTAGTTGGTTCCTGGTTCAACTAATACGCACAATCATTTCACTCCTAAGTTGTCCGCTTGGGACCAAAGAATCGGTATTAAGACATCAATTCTAATCCACCTAAAATAGATCTAAATCAAAACTATACACCTTTTTTGAAGTGCAATTTCTGATGTTTTTTTTTACACTATATAGTTTGTTTCTTTTTATTGTTTTTTAAAGACTTTTTGATGTTTAAAATTATGTAAATCTTATATTTTCATTATTTCCATCAAATTTTATAGATATAAATTACTAAATATACTTGGATCTTAACTTTTGTCAATCAATTCATACTTGGGGACTATTTTGAATCTTCCTCTAATATAAGGGATCATTTTTGTCATTTTTATTTCTCCCTTGCAATGTTTTACTCTAGAAAATAGCAGAAGAAAGGTGTTGAGAGAATCATCAGAAAAGTCGATGTCGATTCTGTGGGAGAAGAGTGGAACATGGCGGTGGTTAGTGAGGAGAACGAAGGAATCGAAGCCGTTCTTCATCGGATTCGCCACCGTTTGCGGCGTCATTCCGGGGATTATTGGTTTCTGCGTTATGTCAGCCACCAATACTCGCAGTCCTGAACTTGAAGCCAAACTCAGGAAGAACGCTCGCCCCGAAACCCTAGTATGTTCACTTCCCCTTCGAATACTCATATTGCTAAAACTAGATCAGTTTGTGCTTCATGTGTGTTGTACCTTCTGCTGTTTTAGCTGTACGGGAAATTGCTTAGGATTATCAATCGCCTAATAGTATTGTAATTGCCAAATAAGTATCTGATTCATATGTCTTGTAGCTTCTGCTACGTGAAATTGCTTTGACATTAACATAAAGTCCTTTCACGTAGTAGTATTGTTATTCCCAGATAGATATAGTCTTTACACATGTCTAAGATGAAGAATCTTCGATACCCACTTCCAATTGCTTAGAAATGGAAGCCTTCAAAACTTCAAAGCTAAGGAACAAAGTCTCCAAAACTCTAAGTTCTAAAAACTGAAAATAATGTTTGATACTGATTGCATACCAAATCTCATATTAAGCTAAGAATTGAATCAAGTATTTATAGTTGTCAAAAAGTGTGCTGCGAAGGACCAGAGTATCTGATTCATGTGTTGTAGCTTCTGCAGTTATGATTGTACATAAATTGACTTGCTTTTATCTGTTCTTATTGTGTATTGTTTAAAAATTTCCTGGTATGGAATCATAGTCTGTATAATTACAATTATGATATAAGAATATCCATTAACTATAGTCTAAACGATATAGACCATCAATCAGTTGATTTGTTCTTATTCATTGAATTAACCATTATAAAAATGTCAGAAAAAGAAGGGAACGTTGTTTTTGCTTAACATGAATTGAATTTTTTTTAACAACTTTTCATAAAAATTGTGTCTTTATCCCAGAGTCTCGAAGGAAAGAAAAATCTTTCTTTTCTTGACTCACCTTGGCCGCTGCTTAGCTAAGCGTTATTACAGGAGCATCTTCAATCTGGTAGGATGAGTGTATCTGTTTCACGTGTTGTACATTCTGATATAATGGTTATACCGAGAACTGCCTTGTCATTATTATTTCATAATGTGTTTTAGAGTCCCCTCACCTAGTAGTATTGTTTTTACCAGATGAGTATTGATTCATATGTGTTGTAGTTTCTGCTGTATGATTGTACGCAAATTGATTCTTATTGTGTATTGTACTCCCTTTGGCCTTTGCCTAGCTAACTGCTATTACCAGAGGATCTTTCATAACAATTAGCTAGGCAAAGGCCTTTGAAAGATGCTCTGTTACTAGTAATGGTATATCTGGAGCAAACTTTCATCTGGCGAGATCAGTATGCGCCTCATGTCTATTGTATATTCTGCTGTGACGATTGTGCTTTTTGATCTGTCAAAATGAAAAGTAACCTAGCAGTATCATTTGATAATGTTTCTTGTTGTTTGATGTACTTGTTACCTTTAAAAATAAATAATGTTTGGAGCTTTATTTTTTAGTGTAGATAAAGTGATTGATATTTAACTTATAGAAAATAGCAATTGATAACCAATCTTGGTGGATAGACAACAAAGAGTGTAAAGGAACTGAATTACTTCTGAGCATTTGGTTGGAACATCTCCTCTATATTTATTTATTTATTGATGGGTTCCTCTGTATGTTTTATGAGACACCATATGACAGATCCAGGAGTTTAAGATATTAGATTGGAATCCTGGGATTCTACAAGAATTTGCTCAGAGAGACAAAGAAGTGAAGGACTAGATGGTATGTTGAGGAACTCGGGATATATTATAAGTGGAGTGGAAGAGGACTGAGTTGAAAGACCTTTCATTGAGAAAACGTATGGCTTGCTATCTAAGCAGTGTACGTAACGAAGTCTCTGGAATTCGTAGTTTCACCAAAGGCTTTTTGTTGAATATGTTGATGAAGTAAGTAATATCATTATCAAGCATCACGAAGATGCCAATAGAACATAGTAACAAAGAGGGTGATTTGCTAGCTCCATAAAAGGCATCAAGAAGATGTTGACCAATCATTAAGGAAGATTCAAAAACCAGCTTCAAGTATTTCCTTAAGGTGGAGAAACTAGAAAGAAGCCCAAATGCAATTTTTATTGCTATAATCCCTGAATAGGAAAGGGTGTTGATTAGAGTCTTTGACCTCTAATTCTATTTGGCAATAGTTACAAGATTATTGCCAAAATCCTCAATGGAAGGTTTAGGGAAATAATAGACAAATTGGTAACCAAATCACAAAATCCTTTTCTTTGTGGGATTGCTAGTAGCTAATATGAGCTTGGAGTCCAAGATAAAGTCTATTGATACTGGGGCGATGTGCAAATTAGACTTCAAGGCATATGACCATGTTAGCTGGCCTTTCTTGCTAAAGTTACTTGAGAGCAATGGTTAAATAGATTGACTTGTGCATATTAAGCTGTAAACGACCAGAATGTTATTACCTTTTAATGTACAGATTCTACCAGTATTTTGGGCTGTAAGGTGGAAAAATCTCTCACTATCTACCTTGGTTTACCTTTGGGTGTCTTGGACCATGCCAGGGTCAGTAAACGGAGCATCAGAATGTTGGCAAGAGCAGAGAACTGTTGAGAAGGCAAATAGATAGATATGGATAAAGATTCCAGCTTGTATTTTTGGAACTTGTAAATTGGAAAGGAAGGACAACTAAGTTCTTGGAGTCCCCAAAGAACCGCTATTGAGTGAAGTAGCTTGACTGCCGAGCAGGACTATTTTAGTGAGAATAAAGCTTAATTTCGAACCCTTTTCTTTCATATTACAATAGCCCCTTCTCTTTTTCTAGTTTAGTTTTGAATGATATATTGTAGGTGAAGTCCGCAGATATTGAGATGAACACAGAATTTGAATATACCCATTTATGTCATGTCTTTGTTGAAAACTAAAACAGAGTTGTGAGCACTTTCACATAACTTTGTTCCTACACCTTTGATGAAATCTGCTACCTGCTCTCTATGGGAACTACAAATAGCTATAATGTTCACTTCTCTATCTTGTTCAGTCTTTTGCTGTTAGAAAGAACATCGACTTTACCTTTTTTATGAAGAGCAAAGTAGATAAAGGTTTACAGTAGATTTAAAAAATGGGCTCACAGTGGTTTCTTCTGGTCTCATTGGCTTGTTTTATATCTTAGTACTTTGACTTGCGATTGTTGAATTCCTAAATATATATTGTTTTGATTTTTGTAACAGATGATGGGTAAAGTTAATAAAGAGAGGTTGGCTGAGTACCTCGGTGAACTGCAGAGAAAGGAGAACACAAATGACAGATATGTTGCAGCTCTAAAGGGTGAAACGTTGACAAGGAAACCTTACCAAAGAATTCAACCAGTCCCAAATCCAAGTGATATTGAAGCAAAGAAGGAACAGAAGTAGATCGCGGCTTAGCCAGTTTTGTTGCTTTAGTTTGGTACTTCTACTTTTCCAAGTGGATAAAGCTTTGGAATGGAGTCATGGACACAACTGGAGTTATTGCTAAATATCTTGAAACTTGTACAAGTATAATTTGAAGATTGACCTTTGTTGAATGAGTGAAATCTTATTGAAGTTTAAATAACCATATCTTAGTTCTAGCGCGAGTAACCTTGTTTACATGCATTGCGATATTGTGTTATGTGTGCAAGGATTTGTTGTACTTGATTACTATATATCCAAGATGTAGTACGAAAGTGCAATTCAAGTGAATATTTTCTTGTGTAAACCAAAATTTTGAAATTCAGCTCCTCCTTTCGTTCTGTTCCCTAGTTTCACAAGACAAAGGTCAATTCTTATGATGGCACATGATAAGAAATTTATGCATTCAGTTGCATTAAAATATAACACATTCAGTATACAAGACAAGTTCTCCAGATTAAACTTTCAAATATCCAAAACAATACCGAAAACTGTGGTTCTTTAATACCTTATTCTCTGACCAAATTTAAAAGATATAAAAAAACAGAGCCAAATAGTACACATTCACATGATGGAGAATGGTTCTTCTGTAACACCAGAGTAGAAGAGCTACTCCAACATAAGCACAAACAATCACACAAATACACAAAAGGATGTAGTTATATAACACCTCGTTGACTTCACAGTCGTATTTCAACAGCTACTCGAGAAGGCATAGCACAGCAGAATCAACAAACAAAAGGAGCATCAACATGATGATCATCGCAGTAGAGGCCTGGACGTTGTGTGAAGCCTTGTTTCTGCATCTTTTTCCTAGCCTTGCTAACAAGCTCCTCATTGGTGACTGGACCATCTGATTCAGCTAGGATTTCCTGAATTGCGTTGCTTAGAGCACCATAAGAATCTCCGCCTGCAGGGGTGGCATCTGCAGATGTTTGGTCTGTTTGGCACCCACTGACGAGAATGCCACTGTCTGGAAGACCTCTATTGCCTGAACCGGCATACACTTCCTGCTTACCTTCAACGTGTGTTTCCATGGCTGGTTTCGCATAGCTCTCATCATTTTCATCAAGTTTCTGTTTCAGAAACTCTTGAGCCAAGTTACCAACCATACCCATGAACCCACTGCCTCCACCCTGCTCGTTATTCTTTTGTAGCTTGTTAAAAATGACTTTCATGAACTTCTTCACCTTAGGACTTGCATCTTCACCAAAGACGTCAAAGAGTGTTGGCCTAAGTTTCCCAACATCAATGTCATCCTTACCGGTTTTCTGCTTAAGTATCTCGATTAGAGTGGAAAGAGGCAAGGACTTGCTCTTCACATGAACTTGATCACCATCTTCCGTCTCAATCACACTACTCTCAGCAAAGTTCTCCTCTTCTTCCTCACGGCGATGGTGGCGACGTGGAATGTGGATACCCCGGGATTCAAATGCATCTTCAACATTTCGACGTAAGAAATTCTTGAATCCAAAACCAGATCCTTGGCCTTCATCATCATCACCTTGCTTGTGGCTCTCCCCAATCTGCTCTTTAGCTTTGTCAATGAGGCCACCACTGTGGCATGAGTCGGATACAATTGTGATCCGGCAACCTTCAGGAACTTTGTCAACGAGCTCTCTAAAATCATCATCTGATCAAGGATGAAACAACACGTCCAACAGTTCAATATTAATTGCATGTTACTTTTCCAATATTATAAAACCAAGAGGTAATAAATTCTATAACCGAGTGTCGGAAATCAAGGGTAAGGTTTGCGTACATCCTACCCTTTCAAGACCCCACTTGTGGGATCACGACTATTCTCCTCTTTCTTTGCCAACTTTTTCTGATCTCCCATTCAACAACTTTAATAGCTCTGGATCCAAATTCTCATTTCTAAATCCTAGTTCCCCATTTCACAAATCTCCCTAAAACTCGGGATCTGTCTCAATAATCATCAAAACAGATCAACTAAGCACTTTCAAGATCCTTTTTTACTCAATATTCTATATGATGATCTCAATCTCATACCAATCTACAAATTACACACAAGAAAAAAAAAACAAATTTTGGAACAACCCATGATTAAGATCAAAGAAATAGTTAAGTTCCTGTAAATGAGATTCATATCACAATGTCGTAAACTATACACCCTCTTTTTTCACAACTGTTCCTCGTCCCCCATTCAACTATTTTGAATTACTCTAGAAATCCAAATTCTCATTTCTAAAATCCCATTTCCTCGTTTTACAATCTACTTATATCTCCGATCCACCTGAATTATCATCAAAACAGATCAACTCAACCTTTCAAGATCATTTTTTAAGAAAACCATTTCAAGATCTCAATCTCCTAGATCCCTACCACATCAACTCTACCCCCCAACCCCAAACAAACAAAAAGCAAAATTTGGAGCAACCCCATAATTTAGATTAAAGCAATAGAAGTACCTGCAACAAAATTCATATCACACACATAACACACAAAGAAAAAACAAATTTTGGAAGACACCCATGATCTAGATCAAAGAAATACAAGTAACTACCCATAAAATTCAACCCACAACACAAAAAACCAAATTTTGGAACAAACCCATGATTTAGATCAAAGCAATACAACTTAACCCCCAATAAATTCAACACAACACAAAAAAAAAACATTTTTTTGGAACGAACTCATGATTTAGATCAAGTACACTCTTACTAGCTCAGTTGATTAGCTACCTGAGTACTCAATTCCTAATTTTGATCAAAGAAATGCTCAAATACCTGCATTAAAATGCATACCACACACACAAAAAGAAACAAATTTTGGAACAAACCCATCATTTAGATCAAACCAATACAACTAACCCCCAACAAATTCAACAAACACAAAAAAAAAAAAAAATCTTGGAACAAACCCATCATTTAGATCAAGTACAATCTAAATAGCTCAGTCGATTGACTACCTGACAGCTCGATTCCCCGCCCCATTTCCCCTACTCCAAATCCTTAAAAAAAGTGCTTTAAATCAAGAAAAAATGTTGAATTACCTGTAATAAGATTCATATCACAAGGAACAATACACTCATCAAAACCAGTATCATCTTCTTCACCCGTTTCAGCAGGTAACCTAGTTCCATGTCCACTATAATGCACAAACAAACAATCCCCTGATTCAGCAGATCCAACAAGATCCGATAAAGCTTTACGTATATTCCGACCAGTTGGTTGTGTGTAAGAATCATCAGTATCTATAAGAACAGTAATGTCTTCCTCAGCAAATCCGAAACGATTAAGTAAACAATTGTACATTCGATTAACATCGTTAATACAACCTCTAAGTTCTGCTTTTGTTCCTGGATAATTGATTCCAATTAACACTGCCTTTTTCGCCATTGAAATTTTTGGTTTAGAGAATTTTTGGGATTGTTGATTGAATTATTTGAGATTTTTTTAAGTCAAAAGGCTAGTGGGACATAAGTAATTAAAGTTTTTAAGTTGGGACCCACCATATGGAAATTATTGTTATTATGTGGATAATTTTATTTATTTTTTTTGGTTTCTTTTGTTGTGGTAACGGTTTGAGTTTGTTCTTAAATTTGTTTAATTACATTTAAGTCGAGATGAGAGTAATGAGTTTTGAATTTGTTATTGTTGGTAACGTTTTATATATACGTTTATTTTGTTAGTCGATAGTGTTTATTCGTTGAAAGAAATGTATTATGTTTGCATTGTTTGGTAGGGCATGAAGATTAAGAAATAAAAGAAAGATTTTGGTTTGTTTATTAAATTGTTCAAAATTAAAGTTATTTTTGCACTTGTTTTTAGTTGACTTTTTTTTATAATAAAATGATAAATAGTGAATTATTTCGATAAAAAATTCTCTTTTAACACTTATCTTCATTACATTTTTATGTATGGGTAAAGATATTTTATCCTTGCGGCCTAATATTGTCTATTGAAGTACAAGTTTAAATTTAATTAAAGTTAAGATTTGCCTACTAAAAGAGAACTATAGATTAGAACAAGGACATAAGTTATTCTAAAATTTCTAATAAATTTTATCTATAAAATAAAAGTTATAAAATATCTCATCAATCAGATAGAATGAAATAGTATAACGTATTTTCTATAAAATAGTAACTGTAACTCTAAAAGTCACTAAATTAAATTTTGCAGGTAAGACAAAAATTGTGTTAACCTTGTGGCAAAAGTTATGGTTCTTAAGTATATGAATCAAGTTTTTCTTCTAACATGAGTTATAAAGTATAACTCATGTTATACACCAAATATAAAGTGTGGCTTCTAAGCTTATATATTAAAATTATATGTTAAGCAAGATTTGAACAAATGATTTGGCCTCTTACTACTTAATCAAATACAATTTTTTTTAATCCTAAATAATCAAAAAAAAATAAAAATTGTATATCAATAAAAATAAATAAATAAATGGCATATTATTCAATAGTACTCTTTCCTTTCCTTTTTAGTGGTTATTGTTTTCTCTTTTAGAAAAACGATAATAACTATAACTAATATTTTACGATGTATTTAATATGTAAAAAATTACAATTTATTATATTTTTATATAATTTTTAATATATATTGATCACGTCAACGGTCAACGAATCAAAGGCAGCAACATAAAAATAAAAAGTTTACATGCCGACAACTACCAAACATTGTTTCTCTTTGATTTTTGAAGTTGCTAGATGTTTCTTTCTTAAAAAATAAATAAATAATAATTATATAATAAACATTCAATTCAAAAATAACATCCTCCTCCACCTAATGTTTAATATTTTATAAAGTTTATTAAATTAATTTGAATTTATATCGCGTAAAGTAATTTGCGAAAAACACTTTTTAATATAATTTTATATATATATATTAAATTCAAATTTGAACTTCTAAAAATAAGAAAATTCTATTTATTCAATTACAATTTTTATTGGTAAATCACGAAGGTAAGGTGGTTGGCAAGGTATATAATTGAACTTCTTGCCAAATTAGTTTTTTTGTTATGTATAAATGACAGAATTTACCTTCTACAATCAACTATGAGAGCGATCCGACCTCTAGCCCTTCAATGATGGATTTGTCTTCAAAAACCCCGACCTCAGTCGAAAAGCCTGTTTTCTTTGATCCAAGCCTGGTGAAAAAAAAGCATAAGATTTTACGTCAAAATTTCAAAACATATATGTGACATTTTTAATATTAATTGGAATCCTTAAATATTTAAGAGAACCCATGAAATTGGTGGAATCCTGATCATTAAAAAAATTACTCCATAGTATATGCTTCGATTACTGTAAACTCCATTAATGGAGGTTGAGCTTTTAGCTCATTTGCAGAGAAGAAGAGAGAAGAGAAGTATTGTATTGATTTAGAAACTGAAAAACTAATTCATTGAATCTGTACAGCTTTTGGTTTATGTACAAGTTTATTACTCATAGAGTACAAAATATCTTCTAACAACTTGTAACTAACTAATGCCACCTAAGCATCTAGTAGACTAACTAACTTTAGTAGTTGGATAATCCTAACCATACAGCTTGTTAACTCTTCACCATAGTTAACACTCCCCCTCAAGCTTATGGTTGGAAAACATTTTTCATTCCAAGTTTGCTCAATAGCAGTTCATGTTGTGCCTTCCCCAAACTCTTAGCAAGTAAGTCAGCTAGTTGAAGTTTAGTGTTTATATACTCTGTCTTCAACATTCCTTGACAGATCTTCTCCCTCACAAAGTGACAATCAATGTCTATGTGCTTTGTTCTCTCATGAAAGATGGGATTAGCAGCAATTTGTATTGCTGCCTTGCTATCACATATCATGTTTACAGGAAGATTCACATTAACTCCAAGCTCTTTGTACAAGCCTATAATCCATGTAACCTCAGCTGCACAGGTAGCCATACTTCTGAATTCTGCCTCTGCTGAGCTCCTTGATACAGTCCCTTGTTTCTTGGACTTCCATGAAATCAAGCCCCCTCCAAACTTTACTAGATATTCTGTTACAGATTTTCTAGTCTCCAGACATGCTCCCCAATCAGAATCACAGTATGCTGTGAGTTGTGTAGTTGGTTCAGCTGGCATCAAAAGTCCTAGACCTGGAGCTTCCTTGATGTACCTTACAACCCTCAGTGCTGCATTCATATGTGACTCCTTAGGACAGTGCATGAACTGACTTAACACTTGTGCAGCAAAGGCAAGATCTGGCCTTGTCATGGTTAGGTAGAGTAGTCTACCCACCAATCTTTGATACTTTGTAGGATCTGAGAGCAAGTTGTCATGTTCAGGATTTGTGGTTGGAACCTGTTCATCATAATGAAGGGATGTGCGACTCTTGTTCAATTCCAATGGTGTGTGTGCAGGCTTGGCACCACCTAGTCCAGACTCAGAAACAAGTTCTAAAGCATACTTCCTTTGTGTCATTAATATCCCTTTGTTGGACCTAGAGAACTCAATTCCCAGGAAGAATTTCAGTTCCCCCAGATCTTTCATTTTAAACTTCTTCTGAATATCTTGTCTAGTGTTGCATATAAGTTGATGATTGCTTCCAGTGACTAGAATATCATCCATATACACTAACACTACCACAATTTCACTACCAAATTGCCTTGTGAACAGTGAATAGTCATAGTGACTTTGGTTGAATCCCATCTGTACCAGTGCCTCAGTCAACTTCACATTCCATTGTCTAGGTGCCTGCTTTAGTCCATACAAAGACTTGTGCAGTTTGCAGATTTTATGAGACTCCCCCTGTCGTGCAAACCCATTAGGAATTTCCATATAAACATCTTCAAGCAAATCACCATTTAAGAAGGCATTATAGACATCCATCTGATAAATGTACCAGCCCTTAGATGCAGCAAGAGCTACCACAGACCTCACTGTTACCATCTTTGCAACTGGACTGAAAGTTTCCCCATAGTCAAAACCTTCTTTCTGACTGAACCCTTTTGCAACTAACCTGGCCTTTAGTCTTTCAACTTGGCCTGATGCTAAGAACTTGATTTTATATATCCACTTACAGCCAATGAAAGAGGATTGCCCAAGCCTTATAAGGAGTCCACCCAACTCCATTAATAGAGGTTGAGCTTTTAGCTCATTTGCAGAGAAGAAGAGAGAAGAGAAGTATTGTATTGATTTAGAAACTGAAAAACTAATTCATTGAATCTGTACAGCTTTTGGTTTATGTACAAGTCTGTTACTCAGAGAGTACAAAATATCTTCTAACAACTTGTAACTAACTAATGCCACCTAAGCATCTAGTAGACTAACTAACTTTAGTAGTTGGATAATCCTAACCATACAGCTTGTTAACTCTTCACCATAGTTAACAATTACATATAAATGGTAGTAATTTTTTATATTAAAAGATTCGTTTAGTATTACAACAAAATGAGTCAAAAGATTATTTTACATCAAAAGTTCAAATCATAAGTATGATATTTTTAGTATTCTTTAATATCTAATAATTCTAGTATCTTATTTATTCTTTTAACTTATTTTCCATTTTAGTTATTCAATCTATAATTCATGCATTTTTTATATTATTTTGAATTCTTTAATATCTAATAATTCTAGTATATATCTTATTTATTCTTTTAACTTATTTTCCTTTTTAGTCAATTAACTCTACAAATTCATACAAGAGTATATTCCTCATTTTGTATCCAAATAATTTTTTTAATAAGAAACCACGTCATAATAACATCAGCATGAAATCATCAAATAAAAAAAATTAAGTAGGCCCCACTTGAAACTTCTATTCAACACACGAAAATAATATGTAATATATTTCGTCATCAATATTCAATGAATATGAATCCTCAAGACGAAATTGCCTATAAATAGCCGCATTAGCACAATCAATAGAAAACACAACAAACAAAAAATAAATTTAGTTGAAACAAACATTAAAAACATCAAAATGTCTATGTCCTCTAGACCAAGATTGGTTGTTAAGAAAGTTTTGGCTAGAGCTCAAAATGAAGGTGATGGTGCTATTGTTAGAAGAAGCATTGGAAGGTAATTATTTTTCTACACTTTTTTCCTTTTTCTTGATTTTTTTTGTTGTTGTTATGATAATCGAGAAATCTCTGACAACCATAGACATGTAGTATAGAAGTATTCGTGAATAATAATCGAGTTGTTTTTACTCTTTTCCAATTAAATATCATACTTTTGTCAGCAATACGAATCGAATACTGATTGTTTTTTTTTTATATTTGTTATGAATTTTGGAATTTGATCAGGCCTGAATTGCAGAATCTTGATCCATTCCTCATGTTAGATGAGTTTAATGGTAATTTTTTCTTTTATTTTATTCTTTTAGTATATTATTTTGTGAATTTTATTTTGATTTTGACTAATTAGAAAGCTATGTTATTTTTGGCTTCTTGCAGTTTCACCACCTGCTGGATTTCCTGACCATCCACACAGAGGTTTTGAGACTGTCACTTACATGTTGCAGGTAAAAATTCATTTTATTTTCCTTTTTTTGTGGAAAGTTTAATTTTTGTACACTGACAAAAAAGATTGATATATACTATCAGGTGTCGGCAATGTATATAAGTTAAACTCTGTGTTGGTGTATGGATTATGGAGATTGGAAATTCTAATGTTATTTTGTGGTGTTTAATTTTAGGGAGCTTTTACTCATCAAGATTTTGCTGGTCACAAGGGCACAATCAGGACTGGTGATGTGCAGGTAATAAGTTTGCTCACAACACCACCATATTAAGTATTTAAGTTACGTACACTGACAATGTAAAGATTCTTAATAGTAAAATCAGTGTTATATAACATGTGATAGATTGTTAGCTACTAATTTTACTAATGTAACCAATTAACATTTACCATCAAAATTTGTGATGGTAGAATAGTAAGTTTTCCTTCGTCCTTAATTAGAGGTCTCGAGTTCAACTCTCGTGAATGTAGTCACATTTGAAAAGGAGTGTGTACTGGATATCGAATTTATGAAATTTAAGTGTGTTTATGATTTTCCATTTGGTTTAATGCAGTGGATGACAGCAGGAAGAGGTATAGTTCATTCAGAAATGCCTGTTGGACCAGGTACTCATAAGGGGTTGCAACTTTGGATAAATCTATCTTCCAAGAACAAAATGTAAGTTACATTGATTCAATCTTGACTTTGGCTTAAATACATTTAGTGTTTCAACAATCTAGTATTTCATTTTAACATATTCCTGTAAAACATGTACTTTGATCAAAATTCATTAGACTTTTGCAGAAATTTAGGCGTTTAAGATCTAATATATATGTATAAAAAGTATGGTTTGACCTATATGTATATGCGTCAGACAAAGAGTGTTCAACTAACCAGCCTTCACTGTGTGTGGTTATGCCATGATTTAGACACAACAACTCATGATCCTTATCTTGTTACTTGTTGTCTACTTCACGAGCCTTCATTGCCCCGTTTTTGTAACTTCCCTCCTTTTGTCCGTCCATGATACAGGATTGAGCCAAGGTATCAAGAATTGCTACACCAAGACATACCAAAAGTGGAAAAAGATGGCGTTTCGGTTACTATTTTAGCAGGGGAATCCATGGGCATAAAATCCCAAGTTTTCACACGAACGCCTACAATGTACCTTGATTTCACCCTAAAACCAGGTTCTGAGCATCACCAACGGATCCCTGAGACCTGGAATGCCTTCATCTACATAGTTGAAGGAGAAGGGGCGTTTGGTTCTTCGGATTCAACTACTACACCAGCTCACCATTGCTTGGTTTTAGGCCCTGGTGAAGGCCTAAGTGTGTGGAACAAATCTTCAAAACCATTGAGATTTGTTCTGATAGGAGGGCAACCGATTAACGAGCCTGTCGTGCAGTATGGTCCATTTGTTATGAACACTAAGAGTGAGATTATGCAGGCTTATCAAGATTATCAACTTGGAAAGAATGGATTTGAAAGGTCAAGGCAATGGTGTTCTAAATGAGTAAACAGAGTTACATCTTATATGCTTCATCAAAATTAGCCTATAAACTAGTACAATATTCATTAGTTTTCTTATAAATGTTATGATTTCAAGTTGTTTTAGTCTTTGTTTTCATTTGAAATGTGATGTGTGTTGAGTGAAGTTTATTATTAGTATTCATTTCCTTCATTTGTTCAAGATTGTATTGGTTGTAATTTATGTTGACTTCTTGAATTATAATATCTTGTCTCTTTAGTTTGGATCAACATAAGTTCTCTTAATAGTCCTTTTTTTTTCCTTTCAACAAATGTAGTGTGTTGGATGAAGTGGTATTTAAATCCTTTATTTCTTCAAGATTGATGGTAATTCTTGTAGCCATAGTGAAAAAATATATTCACTTCTTGAACAATATCTTATTTTTTTGTTTGGATCATTCATTGAAAATGTAATGACAATATTATCATATTATAGGGAGTGGATGTCCATGAAAAACATGGTCCAATGTGATTTTTTACAATTATTTCTCAATTATTGGGTCAATGTGGTCCTCCATGAGTTTTAACCATAACCACTCAAGAACTAATTTCATGCACTTTATATTAACTTGAAATTTTTTATAAAGAGAAATTGATGTTCAAATTCACATAAGAATTAAACAATTTACCGTTTAAATATCCAAGAAAAGCAGGATGGTGTGTACTTTTACCATTAGTCTTGCAAAAATATTCTGCTTAAGACAATAGAACAAATTGACTATTATTATTCCATTTATAATCTTTATAAAATCATCCTAGAAAAGGAAAATTAATAAAATCCAGCAACACCACTTCTTAACAAAATTATCTGTACCTATCTTTGCCAGCTTTGCCATCACTTCTTGTACAACACCCCACCCCCACCCCACTGGCTATTCGAAGTTAAGTCTTTCTCACATCATATGGAGTCTTTTTCTATGCATATGTGAGAAACTTTTATTGTTCCCCCTAAAAAAAGAAATAGCCAATACTAACAATTTTGGTCTCTCAATTATTGATATATTCGAATTTTAATTTTTGAGAGTGATAATATATAATTTAACTTGTAATTACTTGAAACATGCCATTTTTTATTATACTAAGCTTGTGGTGTAACTTTGCTAACGTTTAGCCATAAATTGAAAGAAAAAAAAAAGAACTTTTGAAGTTATGTTGAAAAATAGTACTATTTGAAATGTAAAGATATGTTTAGATATGTATTTTGTAAATAAAAGTGAATACTCCTAAAATTTATAGTCAAAACGAAATTTTTTTAATTTGTGAGTACATAATGTACTTCTAAAAATAGCTCAAATTTAACATATTTCTTACCTAAAAAACTATAAACACATAATTTAATATATTGAATAATTTAAATATGTTAAATCATATATATCACAAGGATTACATCAATAAAAAGAAGGAAAAAGGCAAAAGGTTATCATAAAAAGTTAAATTTTTTTTAATAAAAAAAACTATTAGACTCCAAGTCTCCAACCGCCTGTTTTCTTTTCAAACAAAGGTTATAATATATAATTATTATATATTCCTTTTTATTTACCCAAAAAAAGAACACCCACTTATGATTTTATTTTATTAAAAAAAAACAATAAAAAACAAAATAACAAAAAAATAAAAATCCAGCAAGACCACTTCTTTCAAATTCTCTGTATAATCTTTGCCAGCTCTGCCACCATTACTTCTTTGCACAAAACCCCAACACCCCATTCCCCCTCTCTCTCTAGATCACCATTTTCCAATTCTTTCTCTCTCTAAACCTCAAAAAGTTTCAATTTTTCACCAAATGGACTCTTCAGATGATGAGGGTGAGGAGTATCTTTTCAAGATTGTAATCATTGGTGATTCTGCAGTAGGTAAATCTAATTTGCTTACACGTTATGCAAGAAATGAGTTTAATTTGCATTCAAAAGCAACTATTGGAGTTGAGTTTCAGACCCAAACTCTTGAAATTGATGGAAAAGAAGTTAAAGCTCAGATTTGGGATACTGCTGGACAAGAAAGGTTTAGAGCTGTGACTTCTGCTTATTATCGTGGTGCTTTTGGTGCTCTTGTTGTTTATGATATTTCAAGAAGGACAACTTTTGATAGCATCCCTCGTTGGCTTGATGAACTCAAAAGTATGTATCTTTTTTGCTAAAAGTTCCATTTTTAATAAGTTGGTTTTGGTTTATGTTGAATTCTTATTTGTGCATTGAAAGTTCTCACCTTTTTTGGTGGATTGGCTCAAGCTTAGTCTTTTGAGATTTGATGATGTTATGATGGAATGGTAATTCTTAGATTTGAATTCTACGTTCTTGTTTATGTTGCTAAAAAAAATTCTTTTGTTTAGCTTGGTTTTGGTTTATGTTGAATTCCCATCCAAGTTTTATGCATTGTCTTTGGTTTGTGTATAGAAAATTCTCACCTTTTTGGTGGATTGGCTGTAAAGTTTAGTTTTTTTTAGATTTGATGGTGTTAGGATAGAATGGTGATTCTTTGATTTGACTTCTACATTCCTGTTTATGTTGCTAGTAGTCTTTTCTTTGTTTAGCTTGGTTTATGTTGAATTCCCATCAAAGTTTTATGCATATCTTTTGCTTTGTGCAAGAAAAAGTTTTCACCTTTTTGAAATATAGTGAGGTTTTGGTGGATTGGCTATAAAGTTTAGTTCTTGAGATTTTGATTGTGCTATGATATAATGGTAATTCTTAGATTTGGCATCTGTTGCTAAAATTCTTCTCTTTTTCCAGACTTGGTTTTGGTTTATGTTGAATTGTCATCTAAGCTTTATGCATTATCTTTTCTTTGTGCACAGAAAGTTCTCACCTTTTTGGTGGATTGGCTGTAAAGTCTAGTTTTTTGAGAATTGACAGTGTTATGATAGAATGGTAGTTCTTTAGATTTGACTTCTACATTATTCATTTTGTTTATAATTAGTTATTGGATAAATTGACAAGTGAGTCGAGATCTGATTGTTGTATTCGTATGTCTCTGTTGCTACAAAAAATTTTAAACTTGGTTTTGGTTCATGTTGAATTCCCACTTTTCAACTTGGTTTTGGCATATGTTGAGTTCCCATCAAAGTTTTATACACATCTTTTCTTTTTTTCATATAAGGTTCTCACCTTTTTGAGATATATTGAGGTTGGTAGTATAAAGTTCAGTTTTTGAGATTTGATGGTGTTATGATATGATGGCGATTCTGGGATTTGACTTCCACATTCTTGGCTCTTGATTATAACTTATAAGTATGTAAGATATCTTGTAGATCCGAAAAGTCTTGGCTACTTTAACTATTTAGGATGATGGAATAAGCCATAAGGGTAATTTTAATCGAGTTTTTCCAGAATTGAATAATGGATGTGTTGAATCTTGTCCTTTGCTTTTTTTCTTCTTCTGTGGATTTGGTTCCTATCACTTTTCTCTTTGACTGAATAAAGTAAGATTTTACAGTTGCTATCAAGTCTAATTCAATCTTTTTAGTGAAAAATTACTTACCAGGTATAGAAACAAATGGTAATGTCAGCTAGAAAAACGTTGAGTCTTGATTTTGGATCATTGTTATTTGTTACTTGAAGCAATGGCAAAGAAAGCGGTATATATGCCAATGTAGCTGTTATGCTCAATTTTGTCTAGATGCAGTTGGGAACCTTTGATAAGAACGAATTAGACAGACTGTCAATTGGATGTATATTAGGAATTGGAACTCAAGTCATGCTTTTCTTTCTCCGAAATGCCAATCTAAATGAACTTGTCAACAGATCATACTTATATGGAATCTGTTTGTTTTTTTTTGATCTGTTTTATTTGCTTGATTGTGAAAATAATTAGGACCAACAGCCTGGCTTACCTACGTATGGCATTATGGTAGACTAAGGAGTCTCGGGGATTGATAAAAAATCCAGAGATTCTTTTGATGTTAAATGGTGCCATATTTATAACTTAGGTAGTCTCTCTATTAAGCCCTTAGCTAACTAACTTTTGGCTGGACGGGAGTGTATATGTGTTGCTTTGAGCCGTGAGCTGCTATGTGATACTTGCACGACCTTATTTTGTTATTCAAATCTGTTCTTGTCTTGCAAATATCATTTGAATCTTGAAAATGAATGACTTTGTGCTCACTGTTTCCAAAATTGAAAACTTTTAGAACTTAATGTCCATAAAATAGAGGAGTATTAACTCTTGATCTATCAAAATGAGTGGGCCAGATACAAGGCCGTTTGCCCAAGTACAAGATTTTAGCTTGAGCCCTGACATGGTCCAAGATCCCTATCTTTAAGGCCATTAAAGAACCCAGGGCCAGGGAAATGCGATAAATAGAATGTTAACATTTGCAGCATATATAACCACAAATGAGGTTTGTACTCCACAAGCTTCATTTAATCACGGGATGAAATGAGCAGAGGATTATGCCATCAAAATCGAAGTCAGTGTTAATAAGGTGTAGCATTTTTCTTCCACATGTGAAGGAGACAATGACGTAGCTGATAACAACTTAAGAAAATTCAGATACATACTTTTGAAGGAAATATAGGTAGTAATATTAAGTTTTACAGACTCTTTATATGTGCAGGGGCTGTACTTAAACTTTGCATTCACGAGCTTATTTATTCACATTTTGTCTTGGAATGATACTTTCTGCTGTCGGGAATCCCAACTTTTATTTATACAGTTATATATTAGGTGTGCAAATTACATGTTACGGTGGTGTTCTATATGTTCCTCATACTCCCAATTGTTCTATAACTGAAACAACCATTTACATGCAGCTCATTCTGATACAACGGTTGCAAGGATGCTCGTGGGAAACAAATGTGACTTGGAGAACATAAGAGCTGTGAGCATAGAAGAAGGCAAAAGCCTGGCAGAATCAGAAGGGATGTTCTTCATGGAGACATCTGCCCTCGATTCAACAAACGTAAACAAGGCTTTCGAGATTGTGATTCGAGAGATCTATAATAGTGTTAGCAGAAAGGTTTTGAATTCCGATTCTTATAAAGCAGAATTATCTGTCAACAGAGTCAACCTGGTCAACGATGGTACCGATGGATCGAAACAAAAGCAGGGCTACTCTTGTTGTTCTAGGTGATTAATGTTATGTTTTCTTGATTCCCCTCAAGTTTTACAAGAATGGTTCATTAAATTATTTTTGT